ACCAGAACAGAACTAGAACAGAACTAGAACAGAACTAGAACAGAACTAGAACAGAACTAGAACAGAACTAGAACAGAACTAGAACAGAACTAGAACAGAACTAGAACAGAACTAGAACAGAACTAGAACAGAACTAGAACAGAACTAGAACAGAACTAGAACAGAACTAGAACAGAACTAGAACAGAACTAGAACAGGAACTAGAACAGAACTAGAACAGAACTAGAACAGAACTAGAACAGGAACTAGAACAGAACTAGAACAAACTAGAACAGAACTAGAACAGAACTAGAAGAACTAGAACGAACTAGAAGAACTAGAACTAGAACAGAAACTAGAACAGAACTAGAACAGAACTAGAACAGAACTAGAACTAGAACAGAACTAGAACAGAACTAGAACAGAACTAGGACAGAACCAGAACAGAAACTAGAACAGAACTAGAACAGAAACTAGAACAGAACTAGAACAGAACTAGAACAGAACTGGAACAGAACTAGAACATACTAGAACAGAAACTAGAACAGAACTAGAACAGAACTAGAACAGAACTAGAACAGAACTAGAACAGAACTAGAACAGAACTAGAACAGAACTAGAACAGAACTAGAACAGAACTAGAAACGAACTAGAACAGAATAGAACAGAACTAGACAGAACTAGAACAGAACTAGAACAGAACTAGAAACAGAACTAGAACAAGAACTAGAACAGAACTAGAACAGAACTAGAACAGAACTAGAACAAGAAACTAGAACAGAACTAGAACAGAACTAGAACATAACTAGAACAGAACTAGAACAGAACTAGAACAGAACTAGAACAGAACTAGAACAGAACTAGAACAGAACTAGAACAGAACTAGAACAGAACTAGAACAGAACTAGAACAGAACTAGAAAACAGAACTAGAACAGAACTAGAACAGAACTAGAACAGAACTAGAACAGAACTAGAACAGAACTAGAACAGAACTAGAACAGAACTAGAACAGAACTAGAACAGAATTAGAACAGAACTAGAACAGAACTAAAACAAAACTAGAACAGAACTTGAACCTCGATAAAATTTATGAATTTGTAAATTTTGACGAACTTTAAACTTCGTTATTATACAAATAATGTGTGCGGAAAGGGTTAGGTAAAAAACCTGTTCGAAAATTTTTGAAATAACCTATTTCGACATACATTCATGTATTTTCTTCTTTTATGTTTGAATTTAAATAGTAAGTGGTGTCAATCTTTCACAATGCCCTGTTTAAGAGTGAGTCTGAATATCTATCATTTCAACTGTTATGATATGTTTTGTCTGCATGTTTATAATAAACCGCCTTGCCTATCATACGATAACCTCGACAAAATGATACTCGATATACTATGGGATAATTTGTTGAATAGTTACATAAATCGGATAAATAATTTTGTTTTTACTTAAAAAATTATCAATATAACTTAAAACTTAAACGACGTTGTTAAGAAATAATCAAAGCTACATTTTTCCAGGAGCCAGTTTAATTTTCGAACTTATTCATTGGTAAAATTTGAAAACCATAATTCGTTCAACTTTACAGCATTTTGATTTTGCTTAAAGTTTCTTTTTTTAATTAATTAACAATAACAATAATATTTATGTAGAGCTTATTTATATTTATATGTGTATGTATTACATGTACTACAGTGGATTTGCAAAGAGTCAGCGTATCCTTTTCAGACAGAGGAAGAAATCCTCAATTAAATGAATTGAAAGTAGCCACTGTTCGGAGTAGGAGAAAAGAGTAATTTAGCGGACCAATAATTACTAATTTTATAGTCTAAGAATTTTTTAAATTAAAATCGTTTTGACGACAGTAAAGGATTAATAAGTAGATATTTCTGTTGCAAAATGGACTTCCCGAACTGCAGGAACATAAAAATAAATTTTCATATGTAATTGCATGTGTGTGTGTGTATTATGTTGTTATATTTGTGTGTATTATTACCACAAATCCTTATACAAATGTTTACTGTATTAATATTGTTAATAATTTTCATGTTGCAACATTTAAATGGAAATTCTTTAATAAATACAATTTAAATTTCAATAATATTTACTTGTGCCAGAATTTAATTGGGTTTTCTGTTGTTTAAATTTAAAGATGTGTTAAATGCATTCATTTAATTTTGAAATTGTTAATAGTTTTATATTTAATAATATTAAAGAATAATATATTATGTTGGTTAGTTATGTATGTGGGGAATTTCGTGTCAAGTGACCCAACTTTAAAAATTGATATTTTCCGATTTAGCCATTCATTTGGATAAAATCCAGTATTACCAAAATGTCCAACTTTGACCCCCTCTAAGTCCTGCAGTTCTTGACCGATGGAGCTGAAAATTTGTGTCTGACCTACTATCTAATAGTACTAACGTTTGTGCAAATTCCGTCAAAATCGATTTTTTGAGTTGGGTCACTTGACATGGAATTCCCCATTTATGTATATTTCAGGTTCAATAATGTTTATGATTCAAAATATAAGACTTTTTTTTTGTAAATATTAAATCCTCTACTAATTTAAATATATTGTCTTTTTTAACAGGCATGTTATGTCATTTTCCTCCACGAATTTGTTTCGTAATATATATGAAATTGTAAGAAATATATTAGTGTAATGTAAAATAATTCTAGAAAAATTAAGTTACATAAATTGTAAAATGTAAATTTAGAATAAATAAAGTGAGATTTACGAAATACTTATGCAAAAATTTTCTTCATTATTAGAAAAGGGTTTAATAATATTTCGTATTATACACGAAATTTCCGTAAATATTATGAAAAAAGTCGTTACGAAAATTTTTTTCACAAATTGAAGCATGAATTATTTGCAACAGTTTCAATAAGACCTAATATGGTACACATTCATTGGAACTATTCTATCACTAGACTATCCCCAGGGCTAGACTATAGTTTAAGGAATATACTATTAACTTTATGTACTAAGCAATTGATTATTCTATGGACTTGTCTAAGGACTATTGAATGGTTTCAACCATTTCAAAAAAATATATTCTTCGCATCGGCAGAGAGGTACTCTTATGCATTATAAGGAATCCTCCCTTATAAACATCAGGGTGATATTACTCATCAAATTAACTGAAAAGGATGAGAGGTAGGGTTAATAATACCGTTTTTCATAAATTTTTTTAGACCAATTTTGATCACTTCCCGACACTTTCCGCATGAAATTCGGTAGTAAGATTTACATTCCTATAAATGTTTCTTATATAAAATTTCATAACTGTTCACGTATTTTTAAGTCAGCAAAGATCGTTAAATTATTTTCTTATGGACATACATATGTGTGTCAAATTTTATTGCTTTTCTGGTATTTTTAAGCCAGTAATGATCGTTTAAGTAATTTTTTGAAGGGCACCTTATATGAGGAATAGGATCAATTATGGACCGATCCACATAAAGTTTGATGGAGAGATTTTGGCTCCATTGAAACTTATGTGTGTCGAATATCATCACTATACTCGTATTTTTAAGCCAGTAATGAGCGTCAAAGTCATATTCTGAAGGGGACCTTATATGGGGGGTAGGGTTAACTATGAACCGATCCACATAAAACTTGATAGAGAGATTTTGGCTATATTGAAACTTGTGTGTGTCGAATTTCATCGCTATACTCGTATTTTGCCCATTAAAGTTGGTTTTCGGGGGTCCACTTGTATGGGGCTATCCGAAAACGTGGACCGATATTGCCCATTTTCAATACCAAACAAACCTTATATATTTGTGGAAAATTTCAATCCTCTATCTCGTTCCGTTCGGACTCTATCGTACTTTTAACAGACGGACGGACGGACAGACATGGCTAGATCGTCTTAGAATTTGATAAGGACCCAGAATATATATGTCAAAATCAATATACCCCCATCTTTTTTGATGGTGGGTATAAAAAGGCTGTTTCTAGGCACTCTCTAATGTACAAGTATAATTCCATTAAAACGCATCGGCTGAGATGAGATTCTTTTAAAAGCTGTTCCTAGGAACACTCGAATGTACAAGTTGGTGGAACAGTCCATTTAATAGACTATGAAAATGTTTATTCAATTGACTTGTCTATGGATTGATCTAGTTTCTAGTATATTATCTAGTCTATGAATATGCTTAGTGCTCATGACTAGTCTAGTGTCTAATCTAGTAACTTAGCTATGGATTAGTACATTTAATAGTCTATGAATTATTGTCTGGGCTAATGATTGGACTATAGCCTATTAGGCTATTAACTAGTCTACCGACTATTCTACTGACAAGTCTATGACTAGTCTACTGACGTATCTAAGGACTAGTCAATGGACTATCTATAGACTAAGTTGACTAGTCAGTAGACTACTCACCAGTACATACACCAGTCCACAGTGCAGTTAGTCTATAGACAGTAGATATACAAGTCAGTAGAAGAGAAACCTATATTTTGTAAGGTAAATTTTTATAAAATATATAAATAATGATACCTATGATGGACCACTTAGTCTTATGTAAACATTATAATACATATTTAGTTGATGTGATATAAATATAAATTCTATAAGGGTCTTTAATCTTAACTATCATAACATCTACATACATTCCAAATTATCATAAAAAAACTAAACATTTGAAATCTATAACATCAATAAATCTTCTTTTAAAGAGACAAAACAAAAAATACAACAACCAGAAATTAATTATAATAATTCTTAACACAACAAAAACTTCAAAAAAGAAATAAATACACACTCAGCTAATTTTCAAGATTAACATTTTGATTGTAGATGATTTATTTGATTAACAAACTAATTGGATGTAAATTTTACTATAAGCGTTGTATTAAAATGCACATTCACACTCGTACACATACGCACGCACACTTTTACTGCCTAAGAACAGTGAGTAGTAAAAGTTATGTGCCAATAGATGGTGTAAGTATGTATTTAAATGAAGAAGAAGTAGAGAGAGAGCAAGAAAGAATGTTCAACTTTAGTAATTATACATGATTGGTGTTTGTTTCCGGAAGGCATTCATTATATTCTGTAAACGAATATTCGTATTAAGATTTAAGATGCCAGAGGTGTTATTATCATTATTGTTGTTGCTGTTGTTGGTATTGTTATCATTATTATTCTCCTGCATGTGGTTTTTGTTGCTATTGTTTTTGGCATGCTGATTAGGCCTCTTAGTTAAATTCATATTAGTTAGCAGATTTTCTCTATTAATCGTATTTTGTTTTTGTTGCTGCTGCTGTGGTGTTAAGCGTCTACGCTGCTGATTACGTTTACTCAGACGTATACGTCGTTTTTGTGGCTTTTGATTTTGCAAGTTGTTTCTTTTATTGAACTTTGTTAATTTATTTAATCTTTTTCTCTTTGATTTAGTTTGTTTTATTAGTTCCTGTACAATTTCTTCCGCCTGGGAATTATCCAATTCTTTAATTGCACCCTCTAGCTGGGGAGTTTTAATCGGCAAATCATCATCGGTTTCATCTTCAGTTTTAGAGTCTCTGCCGGTGTTAGTGCCTGTAGGTGTAGCGGCCGCTGTTGTGGTTGCCGTTGTACCGGTAGTTCCTGCGGTGGTGGGTGTAGTAGGAGTGTTTGTTGCTGTTGCAGTAGTGGCAGGTTGTGTTATTATAATAATATTATTATTGGGTTCAGATTTTTCTTGTAAAAACAAAGATTTAAACAGCATAAACTTTTTCATTAAACCTCTACCCTCTTCCGCTTGGGCGGGCGCAGGCACCTCAAACAAGGAGCCCGAAGTGGCGGAACGTCCATGAGCTGACAATTTCCTTTGACGTAAAGGAAATATGCGTAAAGAAGCTGTAGAAAATAAAAGAACTAAATTAATATTCAGTTTATTAAAAATGTTAATATGTCATTTCCAGTAGAGCAATAACTTTAATACTAGCTCACTGCAATTTTTTATGTACCTGACCTGCCTTGCTGATGCAATCTGGCTGTTAATGCACTTTCCCAGCAACACCCTATGAATACAAATGCTAAAACCAATAAAACTTTATTGAACTGCATCTTTAGCTGATGATGGTCATGACGCAAATCTTTTTGTTTTTATAATGAAGTTGTCTTTTTATGCAAAACAAAGTTTCTATTGATTGGTTGCGTGTCTGTTTGTTTTCAAAAGAAATTTTTATGAAAATGGAAAGTTCTATCATTTAAATTATGAATTTAATATTAGTGTTTTATGTCCTTAAGGCATTTGCTAATCAAAGTGAATTTTAAAATTTTTGCAAAAAATTTCATTTAAGTCGACACTGAAGAGCTGTATGGCAAATATTTTATGAGTGTTGGACAAAAAATGCGGACAGATGATCTGTCATCCCGAATTCGACTCAGACAATAGATCGATCCTTATTTAACTTGGTATTGCAATTAATCTTGTTAGTTTGTTGGTTTGGAATTTATAGACTGCTGGAAGGAACTATAGGCAACTTTTTCAAGTGGGCAACATGCCTCGCCCACATACAAAACAGTTAATTAGTTAGTTTGAAAAGATATATACATCAAAAGCAAAGAAATACACCTAGTCCTCAATCGGGCCTGTTGTACACTCTTTTACCAGTGTTTCAGGTGAGAATCGAACACACCACCTCCGGTCTACCAGACTAGAACAGTAATCACTAATCTACCGGAGGTCACACATGCAAAATAAGTAGTAAAAGAAGCATATCTCAATAACCCCAAGAGCTAGAGTCCTCAAAACAAGAGCAATAGCTCTAGTGGGCGTGTTACCTCCCATATAAGGAACATCTTAAATTAGTATGTCTGAGATAATATAACAGCTAGAGTCCTCATATTTCTTCAGAGCCATTTTAGTATCAACACTAAAATTTAGGACTAAAAATGAGCGGATTAGCAATAGGGGGCGTAGTAACTTCCATCCACCATTCACTAATAAGCTAATCAATATAATCATCCATGTTTCAGTTAAGATATTAATACGTAGATAAGACCATAAACTAGTCCGTAAACAAGTCCATAATCTACAATTAGTATACCAAGCAATGAACTAGTCAATAGGTCCATTAATAGACTAATAAATATACTAATAAATTTTTGGAAAAATAAGTCCATAAACTTGTCCACGGACTAGTTTAGTGATGAGTTATATATCTCAATGGATCAGTTAAAAGACTAGTCAATATATCCATTAACTAAGATATGGACTAGTAAAAATACTAATCCTTAGACTAGTCACTAAATTAGTTCATAAACTACCCAGTAAAAACTTTCATTACCATGTAAGCGGTTAAAATGCCAAAATTTACTTACACAATAGCATTTTAAGTCATTATTTTAACACGGTGATGTCATTGGACTTACCACAAACGATTACAAGTAATTTGAAAAAGTAGTCATTGAAAATCGCCTGAAAAAACGTATAGAGCTTCTATATCTTCACTGGCAAGATGACTAATGATTTAGAATGTATTTATATAATACATTATTAGTAAGACCTTATTAGACTACTTCTATGTAATCCAGACGATATGTAGTAGTCATTGAAAAGTATATTGTTAGGTAAGTAGTTACAATTGAAAGCTATTACCCAGTTTTTGCTGGGTAGTCAATCAACTACTCCCTAGAATAGTTCATAGAAAATATAATATATTGGTCCCAAAACTACACTGAAAATAAGCCATGCTTAACTCTACCAAAAAATTAATGACTTTTTTTCGTAATATTTACGAAAATTTCATTTATAATATGAAATATTATTTAATCAAACCTTTTTCTAGTATTACGAAAGTACGAACACTTTGTTTTATTTAAATTTCCTATAATAAAGTTATTTTTAAATTATTCTGCATTTCTCTAAATTATTTCGTAAATATTACGAAACAAATTCTTGATGCGAAATCTCAAAGCACTCCATATAATGTAGGATATTTTTCACATATGTATATTAGGCATGCATTGTGTACATTGTAGTCAGTAGACTAGTGCATGGACTAGTTAGTAGAATAGTCTACAGCCTAGTTAATAGCTTAGTAAATAGACTTGTCAATAGATAAGTTAGTAGGCTAGTCAATATTGGACCATTATATATAAATACTAAACCTTGGACCAGTCTAAAAAGAACAAATGACTTTTAGTTTTAAAAAACTGTTTCAAAATATAAATTTCTGTTGTTGTTAAGTTCCTAAAATGGAAACATAAAGAAGATGATATAGACATTACACTGAAGTGTTTCTGAAATTCGTTATAGCTGAATACATCTACTTGTTATTTTGAAGCACAGTGTTATTTTATAATTTTAAGTGCATTAAAAATGTAAACTTTTCTATTTCTTTTGCCCCAATTTTTGCTTTCAAAATAAATTTCTTTGTGGTTCTCTTTATTTTAAAAATACTTTCGACAAAATTGATGGAAATTTAATTAAGTGTTTTGAATTGGATTGCATACATTTACACAAAATCCATTCATCATTATCAACTTCATCATCATCGTAGTCAGTCAACATTAGTTTTATCTGATTTTTTAACCTTTTTTTTCTCTATCTCTTTCTTTAGCCAAAATCTCTGTTTATACCAGGCCACAATCTCTTACAGTTTATTTAACAAAATATTTCAGTTCTAATCTAAATCAACTACGGTTTGAAGATAAGTTCATTTTATTCTATGTATTTTATATTTTAAGTATTTTTGTAGTTATTTTTTTCATATTTTATTTAAATAAATTAAATACTTTCTCAGTTTGTATGTATGTATTGCACATAAGTGTATTTGTGTTATTTATATTTTTTTCCTAAAGACAATCCCTAAGGTTGCACGTTTGTATGTGCAACATACACATACGTTGCATGTTTTTAGAAAATTTTGTTAATTTTTTTCTTTTGCTGTTGCTAAAGTATTCTGTACGCACAGTTTGTAGCAACAGTGGGCATGGTGAAGGTAGAAAGAAATTTAATTAAGAGATTTTAATCATATGTTAGTAGTTTTTTTCTAATAAATAAATGTTAATAAAGTTATGTAAACTTAAATTAAAATATATGTAAATCTTTTTAATAGCAAGTTTTGTATCAATTGTCTTAATAATTCATTGTAAAATTCTCTATAATGTAATTATGACAAGTTTCACACATTTTTTCAACTCCTATCTGTCTGGCTAAAGTTATCTTATATCCTGTTGTAAGTTCTAGTAATTTACTTTTTCTAGCTACACTGTTAAACATCCTTTAATTCTGGCAGTTTGGTATGTGCTCTGGGTCCTTCTGTCTGTATATTTAATTTTAAAACTATTAAGACTATAAACATGTCTCTGCAAACAAAAAAAATGTATCCATGTGATACTACTAGTACTTCATACACTAAGTATTATCATCATAATAACAAATATACTACAACATTTAGTTAGTTAGTTAGTTAGTTAGTTAGTTAGTTTGAAAGGAGGATGTATATACATCAAATCCGAAGAAATACACCTAGGCCTCTATCGGGCCTGTTGTGCGCTCCTTAACCAGTGCCTCAGGTGGGAATCGAACCCACCACCTCCGGTCTACCAGTCTAGAACACTAACCACTAACCTACCGGAGGCCACACTACAACTACAACATTTAAAACTTAAAGCACTAGTGTCAACATTTTCTAATCATCTTAAGTGTTTTGTCAATAGAGAGATACAAAACCCGAAAAAATGTTAAATAGAGAAAAGAGAGTTAGAGGACAAAAAAAAAAAACAGAAATAAATAATATCTAAGATTTAATTATTTATACATACGAATGTTCTGTATTTTTATTAGGATGTCCTCTCAATTGTATGAATTCAGAAGTAAACAGGTTTTAGGGTATTTGAGAGTATAGCGTAAGAAACTAGTGCAGTGACTAATGAATGGATATCTATTAAGTAATCCATCCAATTGCAACAACTTTAAATTTTAGTTTATTTTCCATTGAGCCGAATCTTCTATATCTGCCACCAAAACATTTTGCTAATTTGGAGTTAGTTAGTTAGTTAGTTAGATAGTTAGTTAGTTACTTAGGTAGTTAGTTAGTTACTTACTTAGTAGTTAGTTAGTTAGTTAGTTAGTAGTTAGTTAGTTAGTTAGTAGTTAGTTAGTTAGTAGTAGTTAGTTAGTTAGTTAGTTAGTTAGTTAGTTAGTTAGTTAGTTAGTTAGTTAGTTAGTTAGTAGTTAGTCGTTAGTTAGTTAGTTAGTAGTTAGTTAGTTAGTTAGTTAGTTAGTTAGTTAGTAGTTAGTTAGTTAGTTAGTTAGTTAGTTAGTTAGTTAGTTAGTTAGTTAGTTAGTTAGTTAGTTAGTTAGTTAGTTAGTTAGTTAGTTAGTTAGTTAGTTAGTTAGTTAGTTAGTTAGTTAGTTAGTTAGTTAGTTAGTTAGTTAGTTAGTTAGTTAGTTAGTTAGTTAGTTAGTTAGTTAGTTAGTTAGTTAGTTAGTTAGTTAGTTAGTTAGTTAGTTAGTTAGTTAGTAGTTAGTTAGTTAGTTAGTTAGTTAGTTAGTTAGTTAGTTAGTTAGTTAGTTAGTTAGTTAGTTAGTTAGTTAGTTAGTTAGTTAGTTAGTTAGTTAGTTAGTTAGTTAGTTAGTTAGTTAGTAGTTAGTTAGTTAGTTAGTTAGTTAGTTAGTAGTTAGTTAGTTAGTTAGTTAGTTAGTTAGTTAGTTAGTTAGTTAGTTAGTTAGTTAGTTAGTAGTTAGTTAGTTAGTTAGTTAGTTAGTTAGTAGTAGTTAGTTAGTTAGTTAGTTAGTTAGTTAGTTAGTTAGTTAGTTAGTTAGTTAGTTAGTTAGTAGTTAGTTAGTTAGTTAGTTAGTTAGTTAGTTAGTTAGTTAGTTAGTTAGTTAGTTAGTAGTTAGTTAGTTAGTAGTTAGTTAGTTAGTTAGTAGTTAGTTAGTTAGTTAGTAGTTAGTTAGTTAGTTAGTTAGTTAGTTAGTTAGTTAGTTAGTTAGTTAGTTAGTTAGTTAGTTAGTTAGTTAGTTAGTTAGTTAGTTAGTAGTTAGTTAGTTAGTTAGTTAGTTAGTTAGTTAGTAGTTAGTTAGTTAGTTAGTTAGTTAGTTAGTAGTTAGTTAGTTAGTTAGTTAGTTAGTAGTTAGTTAGTTAGTTAGTTAGTTAGTTAGTTAGTTAGTTAGTTAGTTAGTTAGTAGTTAGTAGTTAGTTAGTTAGTTAGTTAGTTAGTTAGTTAGTTAGTTAGTAGTTAGTTAGTTAGTTAGTTAGTTAGTAGTTAGTTAGTTAGTTAGTTAGTTAGTTAGTTAGTTAGTTAGTTAGTTAGTTAGTTAGTTAGTTAGTTAGTTAGTTAGTTAGTTAGTTAGTTAGTTAGTTAGTTAGTTAGTAGTTAGTTAGTTAGTTAGTAATTAGTTAGTTAGTTAGTTAGTTAGAAAACCACCTAGCCCTCTATCGGGTGATTATCGAACCCACAACCTCCGGTCTGTCGGACAATTACCACGTTGGATTAGACACGTTATCTCGAAAAATTTAGATAACCTTATCGAACGTCTAATTTGTATTAGCACATTTTCATGTACCGGTCTAATGAATATACAAATGTAAATATTAATTTTACTCATTTCATACATTCGTTCATTTGTTTTGATGAACTTGTTTCCTGAAGTTGGTCTTAGATAATAAAAGACTTGAAATATTATTTCAACTAATTTTGTTTGTTGATTTTTCTTGTATATATTTGCAAATAGATTTATAAAACTATGTTTTAAAGTACCCTGCAGTTCATGGCATTAACAAACGTTTTATTAAACGTCACATACTAGTTACCCTTTAAACTACTTGTTAGGCTTTTGGTAGGCGAGTGTAACAAACGTTGCTTAAAAGGAGAAGAACATAACTACCGTAATGGAAATATATACATTGACTGCTCTTATTAATTTCATGCTGAAATGTAATACAGAAGAAAGTCATCGACTGGACTTTAAATCTGCAAGGTACAGTTCATGTTAAAATTTAAATGCATTTGATTATATAAATATATTTGTATGTTTGTGTATATATTTATCTTAACTCATTATTTGTTAGTTTTTATCAAGGGAATGTTTTTTTTTATAAATCATATGCCAATCTTCATTAATTTTATGTATTTAATGCATATACACACACGTACATTTGGTACATGCAAATTATCTATACATTTACATAGAAATTCTTATAAATAGAAAACAGGATCTTCTCATACAGTGGATGAAAATATAAACGTACAATTGGAAAATTTTTAATAATTTCTAAATTGCAGTAAGAAATGATTTTATTTGATAAAATCGATAAAAAATATGGTTGTAATAAATTCATTAAGATGTGTCCTTAAAGACTCTCTTACTGCTTAATACTCACTGTACTTTAATCTCTTATTTACATTTGTTTTTTGTTAGTTTATATTGAATGAAAATGCTTCAATTTTGAATGAACGTTGTTTCAATGAGATTTCAGATAAAGCCATTATTATCTTTCACATGTGATTAAGATATTTGGAATATATTTTTGTTCTGTTTACTAAATAATGCTACTGGTAGTTGTCCATGCTTTGGAGACAGGATATAAAACATTATGACAAGAAGAGTAAAGCAAAAAATAAATTTCAATTAGAATTCATCATTTTTTTGTGTATGTCACTAGGGGTTGGTTGTGATGGAGTTTAGTTTATTTCTTGCTTGATTTGCCTCTGGCCAATAATGGCAATTAGAAATGTATTTTGATTTTTTGTGGACAATAACGAAATGGTATAAGAGTAACAAATCGTAAAACATTTAGATATTAATTTTTAAATTTTTTTGTATTGCTGTTATATGAATGATGATTTTGTTTTTGTTTAAACTTTTAACTAAAAATCATTTTTAATTTTAGAATTATTTTTGAATAAAGTGTGTTCGTTAAGATAACCGGAATGTGATTAAAATATTTATCTTTCACCAAAAGTTAATAACAAAAAAATATTAAATTTTACTTTACACAATCTTCCATCCCTGATTTTGCCGTTAAATTTGGCACTAACAAAACAATAATAACATACAGCTTCATACAACAACATATGATGCTGTATATTGTTGTTATTGTATTCATTGTGTTTCAAAAAGTTCATTTTAATAGATATACAGACGGACATCGCTATATCGACTTCTCTATCCACAAGGATTCAGAATTTATACTAAAAACGGAATGATAAACTTATATTTAAAACATAATGATCGCGATTTTAAACAAAATTCGTTAAAAGTAATATTCTATCTTTCCATATCCGTACGGATTTTATCATACCACTTATTCTAAAAATTTAACTTACGATTAAAAAATCTATGTAAAAAACGTTAAGAATAGAAAGAATCCGACAGTTTAATTCAGAATTTTTATTTTATTTTTATAAAATTCTTTTTTTTGATTTAGCAAATTTCAAGTTCATTTAGAAAAATTGAACTCTCCTCAAACTATTGGCAAAGTTCGAAAAGGGATTTGTATTTCTCTTATTAGGATTCTTATTGGCATATTTATTCGCATTACCATTTCCATAACGAGTTCT